ACTTTTAAGCAGTCTTTAGATACATTATATAACACATTTTCTGACAGAAATTACATTTGTATCCTTAATCTTTTATTGAGCAAGCGTTTTCTAAAAATCTAAACATGAACCTAAGTGATGCTTTGAGTCCTGCCCTTAAAAGTACTAGTTCAATAATACCTTTTACTTTAAGTTTTAATACATCTCTGCCTAATATTAGTGAAATCTTTTATAAATATTGGGATCTATAACTTTTGTCTGATAAAGAAAGCGTTAACAATTTTAGGCCTTTTTTAGCTTATAGACGTCCTAAAAATATTCGATATCATGTGGTTATGAGAAATGCTTTACTTGATCGCACATTTTTATCTAGTCGATGTTTAAGACGTAGATGTTCATATTGTAACAGTATAATTGTTGGTTCACAATTTGATAGCAGCATTACAGGTTGTTGTTTTGATTTACATGATGATATTAACTGTACTACACGTAATGTAATTTACCTTATATTACATATATTATATCATAAATATTACCTTATTATCACATGTAAAGGGTGTAACAAGTTAAATTGATGCTGCATATCAAAGACGCCGCCAAATGATGTGAACAGCCACAGGCAATTACAAAATCAGCCTTGACACATTGTACTTTATTACAGTTGAATATCCGAAGCACTTATCAATTATTTTTCATGTTCTTGGCACGTGCTCGTTATTTAATAATTAAGTTGCATATTTTTGTGAAAAAGTAGAACCTAATGCATAAACTCACAAAGTAATGCGATGAAATTCTGAAATGTTTGTTGCGACAAAGATTGAAAAGTCTGGTCGAAGCAAAATAAATTGGATAACATTAAAATAAATTCGTGACAAAGACAGATGTAAAGAAAAATATCTCCGTTGCGCAGAGTGTCCATTTAAATATTGGTGCGAATTGCATAATGTTCGAATGATTTTGAGGACAAACTGTTCTGTTATTTTAAGAATAGTTAGAATATGTCTGTAATCTGAAATAATAGTTTCCTGATTGAATGTTTCCGAGGGATCCTTTTTCCAGACATTTTACACGTTAAAATACTAACTATCCTCAAAAAATATATGTATGTGTGAATGAGAGGGTACAACACTTTATCCAATTATTAAAACAGTTTCGGACTGTCAACTGTTGTCTTGCTCCCGTAGATCAAAATGGAAAATGGTATTGGCACCGAGCTTAAAAACGTCCGAAGCAGCAAAATTGAAAATGTTGCAGGCTCAGTTTGATTCAGCCTGTTCATGTGGAACTGTAAAATGCAATCTTCCATTTACACCGGCTTAAGCAAATTTGAACATTTAGCATGAAATGGTTACATTTTGAGTTAAAGAGTATTCTGTTGCAGACTCGGTTAAAAGCCGGTGCTAGGGGACGTGGGCTGTAGCTTGTCCTTTCCAGTGTCTTTTAATTTATCTTTTATCATGTTTAAATAAAGGCGTGATTCTGCGGCGGGAAAGGATGGTATTACCTACCAGATGTTCAAGCGCCTGAGGGGGTGCTTGACATCTGGCTTCGGCTGTATAACACGTTGTGGAGTAAGGGGATCACCCGAGGCCTGGAATGAGGCATGTGTCATACCTACATGTATATAAAAATGGCAAGGACAAAAAAAATCCCAAAATCTTATAGACCCATAAGCCTTACATCTCACTCAGGGAAATTGCTTGAGGGAATGGTTAAGGCTCGTTTAGAATATCTGTTGGAATAAAAAAAATATTATAAACTCCTTTCAATCTGGCTTTAGAAAGGGTAGGAGCACTTTAGACCAACTTGCTCGACTGCAGCATGACGTGATCTCAGCAAAAGTAGATCACGATCAGCAGTCGGGCATACTTCCTGATCGGGAAACAAGGGGATTTCCCCTCAAGGTTTCCCGATCAGGCAACAAACGTCAAAATCTTTCCCGATCGGGAAGTTTTTTAGGCCTTTTTTATGTAGTTTAAGAAAAATGGCCGGTGCATAACAATTTTCAATCCACTTCAATATGAATATTGCATTTTGGTTCAGAAAAGATACATCTAAAATCCTACCGAGTCATTTTCTTTTTAAATGTTTACAATTAAAATAATCTGAAAGTGAACTTAAGTAAAGTCTTTAGATTTTACCAAAAACTAGCCACTTCCCGTTTTGAGAACATTGCTTCCTGATCAGGCATCTAGCAAAATATTCATCATTAAAAGTTTAAGATACATTGCTTCCCAATCTGGAAGTACCTTATATTTGTTGTAGTTCCTGGCCTTGATGATTAGAAATTGCCAAGCCTGGTCAGTTTTTAAAGACATGTGGCACATAATTCAATCACGACGAGTAGAATATATCTGGCGAAACTTATGTTCTTGTTAGGCGTAATAATACCTATCAAAACATTAGCTATACTTGACGGACAGTACAAAAATCATCATTACAATACAAAAGTTTCATACTGTTAAGATTGTAAAGCACAATGTTGAACAACATTGCATAGAGTGTTATTTCTCAAAACAATTACCAGGCAGCTCAAATAATTCAAATGTTGACTAGAGCTCACATAATTTTTTTTGGCTATAGCTCAAGACGTGTTTGCATACTACATGTGTTTGTAGTGACTGTGTCATATTTCTGAAACTTAAGTGTATAAAGCTATATATCTGATGCAAAAATTATTGTTAAAATTTTAAAAAAGTATACTTCCAAAATTATTATGTGAAATAAATATGGTAATTTATTGCCTTAAACGCGAATGGCTAATATAGCAAAACAGTATTGTGTTCCTGTTTACTTACAAGATTCATATGTATTTAATAACAGTGATATTCTATGTTACATTACTTTTTCAGGAGTCAACCATATAATAATGGAACCAGCATAATTTTGCTGTTAATAAATATTTAAATATTTCGTAAGATATAGAACATACCCTTAAAGCCACTTTAATTTTAAAAAATGAATAAAATATAAGATAAAATAAATAATAAAACAAGAAATATCATAATGAACATATATGCCCCCCCCTTTCTAGCTGAAATTGAATGAAATCTATCATTAGTAAGTTAAACAAAAATGGAAGAATAGCTTGAAATAATTATATACTATCATGTAAATGTAACTATGAGCATCTACTTTGAACATTCAAGGTTATTGTAACCTTGTCCTCTGATCTAGTGACCTCAAAATCAACAGGGGCCCTCTACTAGTTATGAACAATTAAAATGTGAAACACAAAAACTTGATAACGGGTAGTTTTGAAGATAATGAGTAGAAACCATTCTGACATTTAACGTCCTTGTGACCTTTGACCTAAAGACCTCAAAATCGACAGGGGTCATTTACTAATTTTAACCAATCAATAAGTGGAATATAAAAGGTTTAGTGATAAATAGGTCTCAAATAATGGTTAATAGTTTTCAAAATAATGAACGCAAACCATTCTGACATTTAAGGAACCTGTTACCTTTAAACTGGTCACCCCAAAATCAATAAGGGTCATTTACCACATATGACTTATCAACACATGAAATAGGAAAACTTTGTGAAAGATACTTTTCAAGATATTGTGCGGATACTATTTTGACATTCAAGTCACTGTGACCTTGACCTTTGACCTAGTGACTCCAAAATCAAAAAGGGTCATTTTCTAGTTATGACAAATCAATATGTGAAATATAAAGACTTTCTAATAAATAGTTTTCAAGATAATGAGCGGAAACGATTCCGAAATTTAAAACACCTGCAACTTTGACCTTTAAGCTAGTTACCCCAAAATCAATATATGTTATCTAATAGTTATGACCAATCAGTATATGAAATATAAAGCCTTTTTGATAAATATCTTTTAAGATAATCAGCAGAAACAATGTGGTCTAACGACGGATAAACAAACATACTTAAGGTCCCTGTGACCTTGACCATTGACCTAAAGACCCAAAAATTGACATTTAGGGTCCCTGTGACCTTGACCTTTGACAAAGTGACCCTGAAATCAATAGGTTTCATCTACTATAGTTATGACCAATAGTATGTAAAATATGAAGACTCTGTGATTAATAGTTTTTAAGATAATAACTGAGGTCTACCAATGGACTGGCCGACCAACATTAACATAACATAACTTTTTTTTTTCAACATAAAATTGTATACATGCAATTTATAGCCATACAGATATTGTGTGGACATTAGCAAATCAATATACCCGCTCTTCTTCGAAGTGGGGCATAATAAAAATAACTAGGGCCGGGAACGAATAAGAACTTACATTGATGTTCGAATATTCGTTTTTCCATATTCGAATATATTCAAATTTTTATTTTTACAAAATTTAAGAAGACACCACCTATGATGCTATCATTTGTATCTGAACTGCTAGACACTTCAGACTTCAAAACATTCACACCATGACTCACATGTTGATTTGTTGCACAGATAACTTTATTTGTTGGTGTTGTCCCAAGCAATAATTCCAGAATAGAACGCGCTAACTTAAAGAAGAAAACTTCCCAAACGGAAAACATTTAATGGTGAATATTATGCTAGATGCCTGATCAGGAAACAGTGTTTCCAAAACGGGAAGCCGCTACTTCTTAGTAAAATCGTAAAACTTCACTCAAATTCACTTTCAGATAATTTTAGTTTTAGGCATTTTAAAAGAAAATGACTCGGTAGGATTTTAGATGTATCTTTTCTGCACTTAAATGTGATGTTCATATTGAAGTGGGTTGAAAACTATTATGCAGCGGCCATTTTTCCTGACCTACGTAAAAATAGGCCAAAAAACTTCCCGATCGGGAAGGATTTTGACGTTTACTGCCTGATCGGGAAGCCTTGAAGGGGAATCCCCTTGTTTCCCGATCAGGAAGTATGCCCGACTGATCAGTGTTAGCAATATTTTTGGACCTGACAGCAGCTTTTGAACTTATCGGGCACTTTGGTATTTTGTATGAATTTAAAGAACATGGTGTGACGGGTGCCTGCTTCCAGTATCTAAGATATCAGTTCGACTTGAGGGCACAATGTCTGAAACAGAGCCAGTGAAGCGTGGCACACCCCAGGATTCGATCCTCTCGCCGTTACTATTCTCTATCATTATTAACGGCCTATCAGAATCTCTCTCTGATTCTGGTATGGTTATTAGCCTGAGTTTGCTGATGACTCCAGCACCTGGAAATCAGGGTCCAATTTGGTTAAGCTAGCTAAGGATGCACAAGCTGGTATGGACTCTCTGTGGAGGTGGGCGCAAAATTGGGCCTTCAAAATATCTGAAACCAAAACTTTGGGCATCATATTTGGCAATCGAAACAAGCACAATTTGAATGTATCATTAGGTGGTACTCCAATTAAATTTGTTAAAACGGTCCAATTTCTTGGCTTACATTTGGATCAAAAATTAACATTCGGGCCACATATCAAGGATTTGGTCAACAGATGTAAGAAGGATTTAAATGTCATGAGGATGTTAAAAGGCAGCGCACTGATTTGGGACTGATAAGAATAGCCTTTTACTCCTATATAATTTCTTAATATGTTCAAAGATAGATTATGGGGCTCAAATCTATTCTTGTGCAAAAATAACTCATTTAAACAAACTTGATACCTTTCAAAACACTGCCCTCCGGTTGGCACTGGGGGCCCTTCAACCCACATCTGCTAGGGACCTGGAGTTTGAGGCCGGTATTTTACCCCTATCAATTTGAAGGAAATCTCAAACATAAAAATACTACATCTGGGTTCGAGTCTCAAGTACAGATTAATTAATTTTGATTAACAAATATATGGTCAAACCCTTATCTATACAGATGGAAATAAGGACCCGGACTCTGGCAGGGTAACCTTGGCGGTTGTTATACCTTGCCTACAATTTGAAAAAATTGATAGACTCACCAACAACACATCCATCTATACTGCTGAGCTCCTTGCAATTAAAATGCTATGCAATGGATTTATAACAGTAATACCTTTTTTTCGTATTAACAAAGCTGTCATATTCTCAGATTCTCTCTTCACAGATCTCTCTGAAATCCAACAATAGTCAGTGGAGACCAGATTTATTAAATGAAATTACATTTTTATATAATAAAGTCTTAAACCTACGAAAACAAGTTACCATGGTTTGGTGCCCTGCACATTTAGGGATCTCGGGCAATGAACAAGCAGACAGGGCGGCCAAAATGGGCTTAAATCTCAACAGTGTCACTGAATCAATCTCACTCTTCCCAACTGAGGTTTATTCAATAATTAAAAAATATATTGTTAACTTATGGCAGGCTGAACTTAATTCCAGCCAAGGGCATCTTAAACATATCCATTACTCAGTTGGGCTCAGCCGCCCAATTCAATATCCAATAATTCTAAAATAGACAAGGCTATTACAAGACTGAGATTGGGCACAACCCTATTGCCAGGGGATATGGGGCAATACATTAAGTAAGTTGATCACAACTGTGCCGAATGCAGAGTGAGGTATGATATAGCCCACTTATTGCATGAGTGTGGCCCATACGAAAATTCCAGCCGTAAAGTAGCAGGAAAAGACACGGAAATTGGACGTAAATTTTTTCCAGGCGTAAAGCACACGTATTTTTTTAAGAGCAGGAAAAATATGAAAAGTATGGGCGTAATTTTCTATTTTTTACGGCTGTACTTTTCTGTAGGGACGTAAAGTTTGACTTAGAATTTTGAGGTGATGTAAACTGAATCAAAATGCTTAAGTTCTATTTTACGCCCGTAAAATAAAATCACGGCTGTAAAAGTGTACTTAGGTTTTTTAGTTGGAATCTAGATATTTAAAAGCTGAAATATTCTTCTATGCCCAGAAAATGCATTCATCTGGATATAGTTTGTTGCTACTCCTGTGAAAATTTAACGTCAATCTTCAATAAGTTTGACATTGGTCTCTTCTTCTAAATGGGATTTGTCTATTTAATATTAGTAATATAAGTATTGTAGTGTATTACCCTGTATCTTTCATGCTTAAAACTTTTCACCTTCAATGATAAGATGAAACTCGTTGTTTTATTAAAATAGGAAAATGCATATTATACAATGCTTGATATGGGTAATGTATTACAGGTATTGTTGGAACAACATTACATATGGTGCATTGAGACACAATATACTTGAAAGGTCAGAAAATGAAGAGGCTACAACTTCAACTAGATTGAACAGCAAGTAATAAAAAATCAACTGATTACATGAACTTTTAGTGAAACAAATTACAATCTTTTTAACAAACAGTTGAGTTTAATTTGTAGATGTGAAACAAAATTGATTTCATAAACCTAAAAAACAAGCAATACATCTTTGGTTATATATGTATTTTAGGGATAGGTTTTGTGTTTGTTATCATTTGTTGCTTGTTACTGGTATCTTTTCCCAAATGTTCCAGATTTCAAAAAAAGTAAGATTCTATCAAACATGTGACAATTAAACAATATCTAAGATTCCTATGAAAATCAGTAAAATATCAATAAATTGATATAATTAGGCCCAATAAAACCCCAAATAAAACTAAAATGGAAATGTAACGTCTATATGATTATGTAATAACAATTAACAAACATCATTAAGGGTCTAAAATAAAAAATCCCCATCAAGTTCTGTCAATTATTACAAAAGTTATAGTGCTTTTCCTATATTGTATATCAACTAAAAGATAAATAGTCAATTTAACAATAAATAAGGAAATATTACTCTAATTTAACCTCCCCCACAAAAAAATGCTTATTGTTTACAAATTTCATATATAATATTTATTAACAACAATCTTTGAGTGACTTAATTAAGAAAACCCCATCAATTTTCATTGAAAATTAAAAAAAGATATGGCCATTTCCCTATGATATATAAATTTAATACTGAATCTGCATAATTACTTATTTATAATGGCCATGTATAGTACAAGGGAAGTAACTTAGAAAATGGACCTGGTACTGATTTTTCAATAGGCAAACTAAATTTACTTAATAAACAGCCCTATAAACATAAGATGTTACCAATAAAATCTATTTTGAGTATAAATTAGTTAATATTGACAAAGATAACACAATACATTTTAATAATATGGAAATTAAGAAGTTGTATAGCCAATAAAGGAAAATTACTGTAAATAGTATAAGTTGTCTTCTCTCCTCTTAAATATTTGTGGTTTGTTTGACACCATGTTATAAACTAACTTAATTAAGATACATATGATCATATGGAAAGTACTATGATAGATTTGCAATGTTAATAAATTAAAAAAATGTCCTTAAATCACTTTATTAAAGGAATTTTCTTTTCTTAAACAACAAATACAACATGTCAGAGGGGGAATTTACACTTATATGATAAATATTGAACCAGGGCTTCCACTAGGAATTTTTTTTTAGGAAGTCAGGACTTTCTTTCAAGGAATTTTTGAAGTCATGAGGAAAATTTCTGGAAGTCAGTTGTTCTTTCGCGTATAATTTTCATGTTTCACAAGCTTCTAAAAATGTCATTCCTTTGTAATGTATTAAGTTCAAGGTACCTTCACATGAATGTTGGGTAAATAAATAAGAAAATTACCCTGAAAAGGACTGTATTGTTGTTATTTAAGAACATAACCATGTAGAACCTTTCATTGATATCATTCAAACATTAGCTAATTGGTATAACAAAAAAAAAATATTTCCCAAAAAAATAAAAACTTTTAATTCTTTTATCAATCATGGTACAATAGCATACAACTTACAAATTTAACAATCATAAATGAGAAGTACTACATGATCAAACTTTTTTCAAACATTATAGTAAATGCATTACATAATGTTGTCATAAGTAAATTTAAGGGTATGAATTTATTAATAACAGAAAAAATTATCAATACATGCACAGGATCATTATCAATAATAAGATAATGCAGAATACAAAATGTAACATCATTTCTTTGTCTATTTTACAGAAATATGTACAGGCACAATAAAAAAAATCTTACTTAATTAGTATTCTAGCTTATACTTTTAATACTTATTGTTAAGCCAATAAAGGGTATAATAATTATATTTGTATGATTTATTGCTTGGAATGAAGTTTTTGTTGATATAATGATAAATAATATTTACAAAAAAAATGTACAGGCACAGATAAAAAATAGTCAACAATCCTTACTAAGTAAACCTAGCTTATTTTTTATTATATAAAGTATATTTAATTGATTACTTTGATATTGCCACAGGCTTCGAATGAACTTAAGAAATCCATGAGGATACTTCTAAAAGATATTTACAAAAATATGTACAGGCAAAGAGAAAAATATTAAACAATAATCTCAATAAATGTAAATCATTCGTGAGAAAGACAACATAATCACCGTTTTGACGATGACTTTTGTGTTTTTGTCAAATAAATATGTACATTTAACACATTCAAAACATTTTTTTTCCATATTCTGTATACCTTGTCAATCTACAAGTGTCTTATGATAATAGAAGGAAACTGATAAAAAACTAGATTTAGCTACTTTTAATGAGATAACCTTTGTTGCTTCAGTGATTAATTCACGAATTCGGCGTTACTTTGAAAAATGGTCTCAAATACGTTCTATCTGCTAAATTAAGTGTTATATGACACGAGTAGATTGGAAAATGTCTCAGGTACACTGAATATAAAAAATCGTAAAGTTATATGTATGTTGTATTGTATTTAAAGATATCAACGAAACTAAAAATCGCCATCAATATACTAGTCAGGTCGTCATTTTCAAGAATAATCTTGAAAAATAAACATTTTCATGAAAATAATTTTGATGAGGTTTAAAGTATAATGTCTTAGCAACCGTATGCGCTAATTCATTTCTACAGTAAAAATATTGGTCCATTTACTTACCGCGGTGCACGTTTTAGCCACTAAATTGCACAATTCTGCGTTACACTTGCACAATTCCTGCGTTATTTGCACATTCCTGCGTTACTGGATAAACAAGGTGCTATCTAAAAAGGCCGTTCTTTTTAGAAATAATCTTAGTATTTAAACTAGGTACGGAATCAATCCCATCTTATTAGTCGCCGGTAGAAACCGGCGACCATATTTGTAACATTTTAATAGAATATCTATGGTAGGAGAATACCTTAAAAGCAAATCAATAATTGAACAATGAAAGACCACATTTATTTTCAATTAACCTTAAAAATTCAAACATATGATAACGTTTCCGAATTAAATGAAATATACAAATAACCTTACAATTTTTATCAAGTTGATTAATGATGTATCCCATGGATAAGTCATTAAAGGGATACTTTACTAATGAGCCGTGTCACGACAAAACCAACATAATGGGTTTTGAACCAGCATGGATCCAGACCAGCCTGCGCATCCGCGCAGTTTTATCAGGATCCATGCTGTTCGCTTACAAACCCTATAACAAGTAGAGAAACTGATAGCGAACAGCATGGGTCCAGATCAGACTGCGCAGATGCGCAGGCTGGTCTGGGTCACAGACACTTGGGGTTTGGAGCTCAAAAAGCCTTTAAAATCCAAATAACATGCATATTTGTCAATCCCAGCACAAGTACTGATCATATATATCAAAAAAACTTAATATAAGCCGTTTTGAAAAAAAAAATCATATTTCAACATCTATAATAATACACATATTATAGATGTTGAAATATGATTTTTTTTCAAAACGGCTTATATTACGTTTTTTTGATATATATGATCAGTACATGTGCTGGGATTGACAAATATGCATTTTATTTGGATTTTAAAGGCGTTTTGAGCTCCAAACCCCAAGTGTCTGTGATCTGGGTCAATGCTGGTCGCAAACCCATTATCTTGGTTTTGTCGTGACACGGCTCACTTTTTTCTTAGTGTCAGACGTTGCTATTTTTTTCCAAATAAATTATGAATGATATTTGAAATGACATTGTTAAATCAGTTGGTTTTATTTTTTTATTTTTATTTAATTATGTTCTTTTATAAGAATCACGTGACTGTCATTCGACCGTTCGACAAACCCGTCACGTGACTACAGTTGGTAAGCAAACACATGGTTGCTGTTGTAATATGGAGAATGCAGGAAGATGAGCCCAAGTATCACATACCATTACAAAGCTTTCTCTAAGTAATCATCTTTTAAAATTTTCATTGCGTTAATTAATACTGTTTATGCTATTTAAACTACCATTATGTCTTTAGACATCAAGTTAATATATTATTATTATTATTATCATCATTTTTATTTATAATTGCTTTTTTTTTAAATAATTAAACAGATTCGATGAATGATAAAACCTATGTAATCAAAGTTTAATCTACATGTTTATGATAACATCAGATTTTATATACTGATAACCATCACTTCTGAACTTCCCTTATTCCTTAAAGCGTTAATATTATGATGATTTACCTCTCCATGAACCACAGCGTGTACAAACATGACTAACTTTTAATTAACAATATCTCACTTTTATCATGCATTCAATCTGTCATTTTTAATATTTTTATTATTATTCAATTAATTCAACTCAATTGAATTCATGTAGGAGCGGGCGAAATTCAACATAGATAACATCAGAAATGTCTTTGTCACAGGGTAAAATAATTAACTACAACTCCTGGCTAGGTCCGTCAATTTAATGAATGTAATACGAAGAAAAATCCGAATAACATAAATTCATGATTATAATACAAGTTAATTAAACATACATAAAAACAACAATACAACAATTGAGCAATGCAAATAAGAATTATTTCAAGTAAATGAATAAAATGAAAATGATCTTACCACAGCGTCTCAATACAGAATGAAAATAACTTAATAATAAGATATTTCTTATCAAAAATTCTATTAGATAAATAAAAATAATTCATAAATTAAGTAAATTCTGTTATACTGTATATCTTTACTCGTAACATAATAAGGATAAAGTGTCCTGGAGAAGGAAAGTTCGCGGGAATTTGGAAGAAAGGAAATGTTTAAAACCAATGTAAAACTTTCTCTCAAATCTCTCTCATACAACATACAAAAGGATCGGACATACAATAACAGTTCACAAAATTGCACGAGATACAGATTCTATTTAATTTAAAGTACTATAAACATACTCCCGTTTCTTAAAATGGTTTTGATTTTTTTGGTTTTCTGTTTTAATTTCAAAAACTATCTGATCGGGTATTAACCTGAACCATTTTTATTTTTTTTAAATGCATTTATTTTAGGTCGCCGCCGGAAAGCCCATATGTGCGACCGTCCACTCAAGTCGGGTCATCCTAGAGCGTCCCGCCGAGATTTTTCGTCGATTTTTTTCCAGCTTAATTGGTGGAGGAAGACCCCAGGTGCCCCTCCAGGCATTATTTCAGGCACGAGCGGGCATCTGGGTAGAGCCGCCGACCTTCCGTAAGCCAGCTGGATGGCTTTCTCACATGAAATATTTCGACCCGCGTGAGGATCGAACCTACAGTGGTGGGAGACCTGTGATCTCAAGTCAGCGACCTTATTCACTCGGTCACGGAGGCCCGTTCTTTAGCGTCTGATTTAGTTCAATTATAGTTATATCAGTATTTTAAGTACTTTGATTTCATTTGACATGTGACGTCAAAGGGTCTCAACCCGGTACTGAAATAGACCGGACCCGTTGTAGTCTAGAAAGTAGTATTTATTGCATCTGTGTAGTTTTTTGTGTTATATGGTGACTTTAATTTTTTTTGTGTATTCTCTCATTTTGACCTCATTTGTTGCTGGAAGGATTAAAAATGTACTACCCACCACTAGTCAGGAGTTTTAATGCTACCGCAGCATCTGCGATGCGATGGCATATAGCGATTCACATGTGTGTGTGTGTGTGTGTGTGTGCGTGCGCGTGCGCGTGCGCGTGCGTGTGCGTGTTATATAGATTATATAGTGAACTAAAAAATCTTCTTGTGAAAAACCACTTGTCCAATTTCAACCAAACTTGGCAGGATTGATCCTTGGGTGAAGGGCTTCAAAAGTTGTTCAAAGAATTTCATTCCATGCCGAATTCTGGTTGCCATGGCAACCAAAGGAATTATCAGCATAAATTTAAAAAATATTCTTGTAAAGACCCACAAGGCCGAGAGCATAGATATTTTGCATAAGGCATTGTCTAGTAGACCTCTACCAAGATTGTTCAAATAAAAGCCCTAAGGGTTAAAATTGGCCCCGCCCCGGCGGTACAAGGCTTAGAGCTCTGATATCAGGTATATGACATCATCTATAGGTACTCTACCAAAGTTGTTCAAATTTTGCCTCTAGTGTCAAAATTAGCCCCGCCCCAGAGGCGATGGTTTTCCTTTAATGTATATAGTAAAAACTTAAAAAATCATCTTCTCTAAATTGACAAAGGCTAGAGGTTAGATATTTTGCATGAAACATTGTCTAGTGAACCTCTACCAAGACTGTTCAAATTATAGCCCTGATTTTATTATTATTTGCTGATGATATGGCCATCGAGGGCAAGTCACAAATAGAACTTCAAAACAATTTAGATCTTTTATATTCATATTGTAATACTTGGGGCCTCAAGGTAAATACTGCAAAAACTAAAGTAATGGTTTTTAGAAAGCTTGGAGGACTTCTACCCACAGAACACTGGACCTACGATGGCCAAATCTTAGATATTGTAAATGATTTTAACTACCTGGGTACTGTTTTTAACTATACTGGTAATTTCACACTTAATCAGGAACATGTAATAGGGAAAGCATTAAAGGCTCTAAATGTTTTATTTTATAACTGTAAGAAATTTGATTTAAAACCAAAAATATTATGCCAGTTATTTGATGCACTTGTTGGCTCTATCTTAGGATATGGATCTGAAATATGGGGGTACACAAAATCTAAGGAAATAGAAAGAATTTATTTAAAATTTTGCAAACGATTATTAAATGTACGACATAATACTTGTTCTGCTGCTGTTTTTGGTGAATTAGGAAGATATCCATAATATGTGTCCCGTTATGTTAGAATAATTAAATTTTGGTGCAAGCTGAAAAACTCTGATAATATCATTTTAAATATAATGTATAAAGAAGGTGTAATTGATTGTAAAAGGGGTGTAAAAATTGGGTCTCAAACGTGAAGAAGTTGTTATGGGATTATGGTTTTGCTGATATTTTTGATAGTGATAATTATATAGATCCTAAATTGTTTCTTCAAAATTTTAAAAGTAGAGTTATTGATACGTATAAACAAGAATGGGCCAGTCTCCTAGATCGAAGTTCTGTTTTATGTAATTACAAACATTTTAAATCGTGTCTTTGTTACGAAAATTATCTTGACATTTTACCACGTAAATTTAGAATGTTTTTTTGTCGATTAAGACTATCTGTTCATCCTCTCAAAATACAAACAGGAAGGTATTCCACTAATAACATTCCTCGTGAACAAAGATATTGTCAGTGCTGTAATGTTTTAGATGTAGAGGATGAGTATCATTTCATATGTGTGTGTTCAAGATTTGTAGATTTACGTAAAAAATATCTAAAAAAAACTACTATTATAACAGACCATCTATGTTTAAATTTACTGAATTATTGTGTAGTAATATTAAAAAAATATTAATAAATGTTTGCAAATATATTAAAGAAGCTTTAAAACTAAGAAATTCAATTTTGAACTCTCAATTGTAGTTTATCCTCTTATGAATTTGGTGCTTGTAATTGTTATGTTTATATTTATTATAATCACTCGCCATACATATATTTATGTGATTATGTTGTATATATTTATTCACTGCATGTAAACAAGACGATGTACTTTGTATAAGTCTGGAAAATAAAAGTTCTGGTCAGTTCTGTTCTGTTCTACCAAAGTTGTTCAAATTTTGCCTCTAGTGTCAAAATTAGTCTCGCCCCGGGTTCATAGGTTTTCCTTATATGTATACAGTAAACACTTTAAAAAAATCATCTTCTCTAAATTGACAAAGGCTAGAGGTTAGATATTTTACATGAAACATTGTGTAATGAACCTCTAGCAAGATTGTTCAAATTATAGCCCTGGGATCAAAATTGGCCTTGCCCAGGGAGTCATTGATGTTCAGTCACTTTGTACATATAGTAAAAAATTAAATCCTCTTGTCTGAAGGTACTAGGCTTAGAGCTTGATATTTTGTATATAATATCATCTATGGGTCCTCTACCAAAGTTGTTTGAATTATGCTCCAAGTGTTAAAATTGCCCTGCCCCAGAGGCGATGGTTTTCCTTATATGTACATACATTTGTAGTAAAAACTTGAGAATAAAATCTTCTTCTCTGAATTGGCAAAGGCTAGAGGTTAGATATTTGGCATGAGACTTTGTGTAGTCCTCTACCAAGATTGTTCAAATTTACAGCGCTGGTGTCAAAATTGGCCCCTCCCCGGGGTCATTGATTCTTACTATGTACATATAATAAAATATTAAAAAATCTTCTTTTGTGGGGGTACAAGGCTTAGAGCTTTGATGTTTGCTTTATTATATCATCAATAGGTCCTCAACCAAAGTTTTTCAAATTTTGCCCCTGGTGTCAAAATTTGCCTGCCCTTTTCATTATGTACACATAGTAAAAACAAACTGAAACAAATGTTTTCTGAATTGTAGAAAGCTACAGCTTAGATATTTGACATGAAAAGTTTGGTTGAACTGTATCAATATTGTTTGAATTAAAGCCTTGGGTCAAAATTTCGCCTTGCCTTAGGGGACAGTGACCTAATTTCTTGTCCTTTGATGTACAGCCATGAAATTTGGACTATGTGCACAGTTTTAGCTGTAAAATCAGGTGACCTAAATTTTGATAATGTGACCTACTTTCTTGTCCTTTGATGTGCAGCTATATGAAATTTGAACCATGTGCACAGATTTTGATAACAGCTGGCCTAGCTTTTGACAAAGTGTCTTACTGTGTTGTCCTTTGATGTAAAGTCATGGAATTTTGGCCATGTGAAATATGACTTTCACCACCAAAATCACTAGACTCGACTGCATTGATAGATTTCTACTCTGATCTTTTATTTGAATAACAATAGATTTAACCACTAATCTGATAATAAGAATTATATAGGTCAGTGATCTATGCATTATGGCAATCTTCAATTGTATATATAGAAACAAAATAATCTGTTCCTTCATTACAATTTAGTGTTGTATTAATGCGGTGGCATAGCATTTTTCACAAATGCATTCTTGTTTAAGTGGTGAATTTAAACAGTGTAACAACAGAATGAAGATTTCTGAAAAAAGTAGATGGCTAACACATTATATTTCGGGCATCATTTGACTTAGATAGTGTTGATGTTTAAAGTTGAAGACTGTATATAATTCAACAAGAACATTGGAATCCAGAATTAAGCCTAAAATGTGACTGATTTACAATAGAACAAAGAGTATGAAAATTCACTGGGCCGAGACCAATATAAGAGATAAGAAAATGGGTTTTCTCAGGAACCAGTTGATGGATATGGATGGAACTTTGCCTTATTGTTGTCATGATAATTAAGGGTAAGTGACAGGTTTGAAAATTTTAAATCTTATTTCAAAATTTAAATTTTGACATTTTAAATTGGGACAAATGTTAGTTTTGTTGTCTCCCATTTAAATGTAGGTGTCTGCTACTGTGTCAGTGAGCTGGAAGAAGGATACAGAGATTTGAATGAAAGATTTAATACATTTTAATGAATTAAAACTTAAAGTTTAATTTGAAATTAAAAATGAAATTTAAATATTTTAGAAATCAGTTTATAAATTAATGAATTTTATTTTTGTACCCAGTGTTTAGCAATATACAATAGCTTTTTTCAGTTTTTTTTTCCAGATTTATATATTAAAAATGATAGTTTTTGAGAAGTGCATCTTAAATTATGGAGACACCATGTATTGCAAGGATTGGGGTGTGTGTGTTTTCAGACTGGTTACATTGGTAAAAAAGAGTGATTGGCATGCTCATTCCAGAGATCTTAGGGGTCCATCAAGCACGGCCATGGGATTCGAACAACGTAGCACCATAGTAGTCTATTGGTCACATGGACCACAACACATTATAGGCGCTGACAATTTAGCAAAGGATATATGCAAAGCAAACCCTTCAATATTAGCCAAGCCACAAGGTGACATGGTGATAATGCGCCACAGTTTGGCGCATTTCGTAGCTACAAGTAGAAAAGGCGATAACGGTATTTGTTATGTTGTCTTCAGCGACAACACAACACGTAAAAGCGTAACAAATCAGCCACCATAGACAATTGAACAGGACAAATGTGTTTCTCATTGTTGGAAATATAGACATTTTCCGTGTAGTGAAATAAATCTGTGCTGTGTTGCAGAGTGTATTTTTAATATACACACATTTGAAAGATTTTCAATTTTTTTTATTTAACAGTGAAGATTTTGTATAATTGACTCATTTGTTGTTGTTGTAGCTGCTACAGCAGTTGAATTAGGTTAGGTTTATAATGTCTAAACTGGTATTTTGCATGCATTTTTAAGCACACAATATTTAGTCATCCTGTGTGAATCAACAAATCAAGCCATTAATTTACACATAATTTTCTTTGTTTTTAGATACCAGAATTACACCATATATGCCTCTTAAAATTTCCTACTGCTGTGTGTTACATTTTTTTTTCAGACCTTGCAGTTACCTGAAAGCTATTGGGTTTGAGTAAAGGCCCTTCCCTTATCCTGGTTCAGATCTATGGAAGAAGTCCTACAGCTCGGTTTGGAAGCAGCTTTGTCAGGACACATTGAGAAGGTAAAAACTTATGTCTAGTTTGAAATTTAGCTATTGACGCTAGCTACTCCCAATGCTCCGCCTCGGCCAATATTTGGTAGATATTTTGGTGAATATGAGGAGAAAATTTCTCAAATTCTGACTATTTTAAAACTTCTCAATGATTTAAAGTGGGAGACAGTATTGTGCTATCTTTTTAAAGTATATTTGTGTGAGATTTGGCTACTCTTACTTTGTCAGAAGACATAGCCCATGTTGCTATAATAACCTCTTTACTTACCTTAAGATTACCCCTGTTTGTCTTATTGATATCTTAAGCAAACAATGTAGAATGTATATGTTGGTACTTTAATTTATTTACCAAGGTATATAGGTTAAAGTCATAATCAGTAAGTTTTATAACACTATTGAAAGAAAAAGTTATAAAAAAGCACATTTAATTGTGATTACTTGTATTGTAACCTAAAATTGCATGTTCTCTTTTAAAGAAATGGAAATTCTATAACAAATTTAAAGCAATAAGGACTTATTCTTTCATAAAATAACTATATAACATTAGCCGGTAACATAAAACTTTATTTAAAAAAAATCCATTGGCAGAATCAAAAGATATGACAGTATTTGTAATATAAGTCTTTGCGTAAAATTCTGTTGGCCGAGTCTGATTTTTCGCATCAAGGTTCAAATTTAAGAAATGGCTCTGAATTAATGTAACTTGTGGTGGCATGTCAAACCTATATAATTGTATTTGTATAACACTAAATAACTAGGTAATGAGTATTAATTTTGGCTTAACTTAAATTTTGGATCCATTTAGGTCTCAACCCTGTACGGAATTAGACCGGACCCGTTGTAGTTCTTTTAAATTTTAAAGTGGCCCAATTTAAGTAATCTCTAGCTTGATTGGTCAAAATTAAAGTGTATTTATTGCATCTGTGTATTTTTTTGTGTTATATGGTGACTTCAAAAGTTGTTTTTTTTGTGTATTCTCTAGGACCTCATTTGTTGGCCGAAGGATTGAAGATGTACTAACCACCACTAGTCAGGAGTTTTTAAGTGGTGAATTTAAACAGTGTTACAACAGAATGAAGATTTCTGAAAAAAGTAGATGGCTAACACATTATATTTCGGGCATCATTTGACTTAGATAGTGTTGATATTTAAAGTTGAAGACTGTATATAATTCAACAAGAACAGTGGAATCCAGAATTAAGCCCCAAATGTGACTGATTAACTATAGAACAAAGAGTACAAAAATTCACTGGGCCGAGACCAAAGCGCGTACCGGCCAGATTGTGTCTCGCGTGAATATTTGTCTACGACAAAGGCTGCGACGTCACAGAAACACTACGTCAACGACACGTTTCATAAAACGGTCGTGCGACGTTGTCTCAGACGTATGACACGGACAATAAAATGTCGTAGACTACGACACGTTGATAAAACGACCCTGACCTTTTTCCTCATTTTTCTACAACTACATATAATTGTGACTTCAGAATATAGGCTTAAATACTTCATCAGGTTTTCAAACATTTGACCACAGCATTTATAAACATTTTAAATTGGATATTAATTTCCAAATTTATGATTTCTCGTGTTTATTTTTATTAAATGACTTACGATTAAGATAATGTGTAAATTTCAACATCAAAGCATAACTGTTAATTGAATTAACACAAGCACGTGGAAAGCATAGCAAAGTAGAATTCTTATAGGAAAAAAGATAACCGACTTTGATGTTAACTTTTATGGAAGAAAAGCGCTAAAGAACCTCATACTTGAAATTCGCCTTTATGATTCTTCGGATGTTTTTGTACAAAAAAAGCGTTAACCCTCTATTGAAGGCACTAGATTATACAGAACCTCCACCAATACTTCTACTCACTTAAAATCACTACGAGCCCTTCATTTAAATGAAATTGCAATGTAATATTTTGATTTTACGCTCCTAATTTTGATGTGTCAGACTAAGCACAGAATATGCAAAGCTAGCAATAATTTTAAACATTACTTTTAGAAATTATGTTCTTACACAATCCCAACAATCCCACTTGTATTGCAATTTCCCTAAGGATAGTTAAATAAATTAAAACGCAATTGACTGATGATTATCATCCCTCGGCAATTCCAATTTTTTCTATATAATATTCAGATATTTGTAAAGTTTTGTATACGATGGATGTCTTGAAAATATGCTTTCTTGTCATGCTATGTAAGTACATATGTTTAAATCAGCGAAATTGTTTGTAATATTTTAAGAACAAATATTTCATACTTTTCATTTATGGAGTATTTTCTAATTGATAATTAATGATCAGTAAATTAAAAGAAACTGTTATTTTTATCAGCGGGTCCATTTATTTAATCTACAGTGTCACTTATTTTTTATGTTCTATCTATAGGGCAAGTGGAAACTGTAGGTTCGCAGAAGCTACTTAGTGAGAGAGCAAACTCATTGAGGTCAATAGAAAAATTGATAGTGTATATAAAACTTGGGAATGATGAGGTTTGTGCTGGTGTACAAATGTCTGACGCTTGGATACTCACTCTTGCTGACTGTGTCGATAAAAACATGTAAGTTGTACCATATTTTATTACTAAGTGAGAAATATCTGTTTCATATCATTTTTTATCCTATAAGTTTTTTTTTTGGTTTTTCTTACCACTAGCCCCTTACCGAAACAGGTTAAAATCAATTTAGTGACTTTTAGATTCTTCATTCGAGGAAGCTATCTATCTAGCCTGAAGAACGTCTCCCTCCACCAGTAATGCTGAAAACTCCCAATATGACCCGTACTGCATAGGTGCGACTTAAAACCAAACCAAATAAATCACACTTAAAATGGGTTATTGGAGTTTTAAGCAAATATTTATAACGCAAAAGAAGACACAAGGGCGCCATCTAGAAGAATCTTTACTTAAACGAGACTGACGAAACTTTAGTCTTCAAGCCACTTGTATTAAGCAACCGGGTTAAGCATAATTCGACATTAAAACAAGAAAATTGAAAAAAAATGAATTAAGAAACATCCACGTTCATACGGCGGTTATCATGGAATCTCCAATGTGTATGACACCTTCGTGGCATTCCATTAAAAAAGCGTATGGTCCCAAAGTAAAAGAAAGCGTGAGCTTAAATATGAAAACAATAGGAAAATCTAAACAAAATGGAATGTTGGCAAATATTGTTTATTTACAAAAACGTTTATTTTTCTATTTGTTATTAAATAGCTCTGAATATATTTCATTCTTAGTTGAAATTAATGCACCTGTCGTTTCATACGATATATAAAAAGTTAACGTTCAATGCCTTCCTTGCGACAAATACCAACACATACATAGTTTATTAATTTTCTCTATGTATATAATCATATAGATTTTCTCTATGTATCTCATACGATCTCGGATACCGGGCGTCCCTGATCTCGTGATTTCACCCGACCATTTTGAAAACCTGCGCGACGGAAATCGACGTAATATTACGAGATTAACAATTACCACTATTTATTTAAATAAATGTGCCTCTTAAGAATAAATCTATTTAAGGATGTTCAAATTAAACTTAACTATTTTTTTTTATTTCCTTGTCTAAAATTTGAAGGAAAGAGCCAACTTAAACCCCTTTACCGCGAAAAAGGGAAAAGGTTTTAAAAATCAATTTTTAATGTTTAAATTATGAGTAACAGACCTTTCGAATGATATTAAATATGAGATTGTTAAAGGAAAATAATTTTGTAATTATTATAACAAAACTACTATAATTTGCATTTTATCAGTCGCCATTTCTTTTGCCAGTGATTCAGAAGTTACCAGTATATTATATTTCCATTTCGTAAAATTGCAACGTTTGACGCTAAGAAACAAGTAGAATATCCCTGTCAATGACCTATCAATAGGGATAATGTAATTTTACTTTTAAGATGTTATGTAGGGCTATTTTTTAAGATGCCAATATTTGTATATTTTCATTTCATCGAGCAACGTTATTATATATTTGAAATTTTAAGATTAATGAAAAATAATTGCGATCTTTTAATTGTTCAATAATTGATTTGCTTTAATTTTGAGATAAGCTCTTCTTCTAACATAGATATGCTTTTAAACTGTTACAAATATAGTTGCCAGTTCTACCAGAAACTAATTAAGTTATTAACAAACCAAAAGAACCTGCCTTCATTGTAAACTAAATTAACACTTGAACTTACTTTTTCTGACGGGTAGAGGGGAGGGAAATGAAATACATGAAGTACGAAAGCATGATTTCCATGCTTGACTGTCTTTTTTTGTGTGTATCTCAAAAATTGTTAAAACATCACTATCGGTTATATGTTTGGGACTATAATACATATTGGAATAATAAAGTTTAAGTATGTATATATTTTTTTATTATCGGTGAGTATCATTTTTTTCATCATAATTATAACTACATTTAACAGTTTTATTATCTTACAGTTTAACTTAAAAAAATGCTGTTTTGCATTGTCTCTAAATATATAAAAAAATGAAATCGGAGCCATTGAATGCCTACAGTTATAATAAGGTGAATACTCTTAATTCACCACAAATCTACAATTGTTGCAAATTGTGCTTTGATTGTTTTTCTTCGTTTATAACACTGAGTCAGAAAGTTCGTGTTTATTTCTGTTAAATTGGATATAGTCACGTGTTTACTTAGTTAAAATATATGATCACTTACGCTGAAAAATTAAATAAATGGAGATATGTTTAAAAATGCTTGTACCTTACTAATGTTCTTTTTAATTCACCATTACAAACTGATTGACATTTTTGCACACAAAAAGTAAAATAAATAAAAATAAATCAGAAAAATGAATTAATTTGTAAAAGTTTTGTTCAGTTGGGTTAACACATCAACATAATAAAGCTCAACAATAAAATAAAACTAAACAAAAATTGATAGCGTCCATCAAACTTTTCCAAATTAAATCTTTTTTTTAATTGCCCGTCTGTTCTAAATGCTAAAGTAATTAAACGAGATAGTTATTTTTCATATGTCCTAGAAATTTATTTGTCAGATTTTTTTATTTATTTTTTTTCTTTTAATTTTAGCAAGCTCGGAAAGTACAGAATCATATACCAGGATGGTTCAAAACAGGTCATTGCTGAAGACAGGGTGAGTGAGATTGGTTTTTTTATATGTGCATTATACTTTATAATTTTCTTAAAGTGTACAGGTCTACAAAGCGCATATTTTCCATATTTTTTTTCAAATACTGATTCGGATCAGCCATTGCTCAAGCCAATATAGTTTTAACGGTGTGTAAGTTGGATATCGGCCTCGTACATCGATCTTTCTGTTTAGGAAAGACCTGGTTACGAATTTCATGTGACACCGAGAGCGCATAGCGCTCGAGGTGTTTCATGAAATTCGTGACCAGGTCTTTCCTAAACAGAAAGATCGATGTACGAGGCCGATATCCAACTTACACACCGTTAAAACTATATTGGCTTGAGCAATGGCTGATCCGAAGCATTCGATGAATTGCACAAATATTATTTTTAACACAACGCATATACAGGTAAGCTTTTATCAACGTTCTGCTTAAATACAATATATCCTTTGCTTTCCCCTTAAAATAAAATCAAAAAAGCTAAATGTGCAATTTGTCAATAATAAAGTGAATAGATCTGTAAAAGAAGGTATGTTAAGTATGTCGTATCAGACAATGCAGATTCTAGGACATTTGTCCCCGGACAGTTGATCCCGGACGTATGTCCCCTTTTTTGCCGTTGTGACTTGTGACTTGTCATCTTGTGTATAGATTTTATGTATGCCAATGGAAACATTTTAGTTTTATTTATTTATGGATGCTATTTTGACTTTCACAAATTTGCGCGAGAGATTTTGTGTATTTAAGTACAATGAAATGTCGACAATAGGCGATGAATTATGGTAGCAAACAATTCAACAATAAAATATTTTTTTAAAACAGGGAGGGGGGGTTCGCCCCTTCCAAAGATATGAGGGGACAAATGACCGCCATTGCAAAAAGGGGGCAAACTTCCGAGGGGGCAACTGTCCGAAGGGCAATATGTGGATACCAAGCAGACCAAGAAAGACTTACATATGCATATTGTTGACAAGTGTGAAATATATGAACCGAAACTATATTTTATATAGCATATTATAAAGTGTTCTAGAATAAAATATGATCGTTCATCATAAAATGTTTTAAACTAAATCACTAATAACTTTATTTACATTTTAAAATCGTAATGAGTATGCTGTGATTTGTGCTATATAGTTTCATAGATATGAACTTAAAGCTTCCATTTTGTTATATTATGAACTTAATGACAGAATTACTATTACTTTAAAAAATGACGCGATTAAATAAATGTTAAATGTGTCCTAACTTTGACATGCTATCCATTATTTTTATTGAAAGATTTAATATAGGGATGCTGGAATAATTGCTTAGTTAAAAGGGTTTTAATTTTTGATTGCATTTCATGTTTTCTTTGTCTGCGCATAGGCAGGTCTATTTTTTCACGTGTATTTCATGACCGGGTCTGTCTGACTAGAACAGACCTGTGCACGTGCAAAAGATAGACCTCATAACGGACTTTCTTTTGTTTAAACAGGTCTATCCGAAAAATATAGACCTGTCACAAACAATAGAGGAGGTGTGTAAAAAATAGAAATTTATGATTTGGTATTCTCATAGCTAGGAAAACTAAAGTTAATAAAGTTCTTATTGGTTTAGAATCATCATTTATATGATGAATAATAATATTTTGTTCTACAACATTTTATTATCTACTATATAAATATATATAATGTCGGTTCATGTATCTCACACTTGCCAACAACTTCCAAAAATAATAGTTTCATGATTTGTTGTTGTCTGATACTGAATTATTCATTGTATTCCAGATCCTTCTTTTATACACCAGTTTATTTGTATTCTGTGGTGTAAGATTAAAACAATACAATGAAAATTGTACAAAGTAAAAAAAAACCGATATGTTGTCCTTCTACGTGTTATAGATATGAACTATTGACTCTTTAGTATTATACATGATTCAATTGCAATTTTGTTGAGTTTTAAACAGTTCAGCTTAGAGCCGGTTTTATCAATAGTGAATATACTTCATATCAAGCGCGATTTAATTTGCAGTTAAATGGAAATTACTTTTTATACATTAAGTAACTTATTTCCTTACACGACGAGTTTTGAATGTTAAAAATGAAAGGTACGCCAATATCGACGGTCCTTAACACCAAGACAACCAGAACCCGAAGTACCTCCGTGGAATAAAACTTCTTTTTTAAGTATCAAAGTATCAAATTTCATTCTTTCTGATATCAAATTTCAAAAATGTATGTTTAAGCAGTTAATGGCAAAATATTATTTCCATGCTTTCAGGACTCAGTTGGCGAAGAATTCGTTCTTCTTCAGATGGAGACAACTAAAGAAACAAAAACTAAATTTGCAAAACTTTCTGACTCAATGTCACCCTCACCCGACTACGATTATCAGCTCTACAGTAAGGACGAGTCCGGTAAGTTTTGAAGAAATTATAATTGTTTGTTTGTTAAATTGCATTGCCATCATTTCGTTCTTTCCTCATCATTCCAATATTCTAAAGAACAATTAAATCAGATTATCAGGTTAAAGTTTAAAACATTTATTTTCAGCGTCTGTATACGACTTTCATAAATGTTTATGCATTATAACCAAAGCGACATTCACTTTTCATTTTCTTTTAGAAAAACAATTTTCAATCGTTTCAAATTAACTATTTCAGTAATTTAATCATAAGCGTTTGCTTACTTTAATGAAATGCTGAACAGTCAAAAATATTTTATTATTATTTTCTAAAGACAACTCTTTGTTACCAACTAAAAGTAATTGGACATTTAAAGGGTGAAATTGCCTTAATTCGTTAAAAAGATCAATTCTCTCATTTCTATACATGTAAAGACATCCACTTATTGTGGGCAAATATGATATTCCATCTTAATTCTTTTTAAAATATGAAACTATTTATCTAAAAATAACATTGTTTGCCTGGAGAAAGGCTATTTAAATGCTGCTTTTACCGACTCGAGAATCCTTTTACTCTTTATATCTCAACTACGATCATTTAGTGCTTGATATATTGTTTTCAAGTGAGCAAATATATTTTAGTTTTAAGCTTTTGAAATATCATATTTTGACACATTTGGGCCTGTGCTAGGGGCGTTAGGGACGTTGCATTCATTCATAATCCTTCATGTACGGACTCAATGAAACAGAGTCTGCAATTTTCGAGGGATCACTTTGTTTCCAGATTTTATTTTGTTGCCGTGGGTCCATTAACAAACATTTACTGCTTTTATAAATGTGTATAATGTAAACATGAACTGATGTACATGTATTTGATGGAATGGTTTTGTGTTATTTGATTTAATCAATGTAATAATAAAATTATGTAAAAGTGTAGTTTCTCTTTTCACTTATGACATAAGTTGCTTTAATGTATATATATTAAATTGAGTAAATTGATTCCTGTAATTATATCTTATTTACATAGGAAGTCGTTTCTCAATACTTAACGTATATATTACCAATACCGTTAATTAGTTAAAACAACCAGATTTATGGAAAATATTGATTTCAGATTAGAGATCGTTTCTTCATAATGTACAATTGATATCAAATATTCAATGTCTGTTTTAATAAATACCTCAGCACAGCTTTACTTACACTATTTAGGTTTCTTATGCTACCTTCATTAATCTATTAAAGCCGCTTATTGCTTTGATATTACAGATGAAGTAACAGCAAATGATGTTGTTTTTGTGAGCGCCAAGAAATGTGTGAAGAAAGGCATTGAAGGCAATTTTGGAGTGACGCACAAATGTTTTCAAGTCAACATGGGCAAAACTACTAAATGTTTGGTAGGTTATACTGTTATGATTTATTATCTTTATGAAACTTCAATGGACGCCAACTAAAGTACAACTAATATGCCTTATCAAACAATATATATTCAATTTATCCAATTATGTTATTTAATGAATGAATAAGTCATTTAAAGTGTAAAAAAGCCATAATTATATTTGCTGTCTGCAGTTAAAAACAAATATTGTAAATTAATTTGAAAAAAAACACCCGTAGATTATATAAAAGAAATATATTTTACATATTTCTTTTGAAGAAAATGACGCATGTACTTTTTCCGGAACGCTTCATTCTGTTTACGTAGAAATATTTGAATATCAGAGACATTCTATTACATTATTTACGAGTATCGACATAGATTAAGAAAACAGCAGGATTTTACTGTATTATATATCTTACTGCAATATGCATTCAAGCGAAATGATGTATGCTTTCAAATGAAGCTTAAAGTTTAGTTTGCAACAAGTATATAGCTTATCAATTACATTCACCCGCATATATGAATAATGCCATTCTTTTTATGTGCAAAAGTAATAAGGCTGCGTATAGATTTTAATTTGTTTCTAAAATGTTCACTTTGCTTAAGTTAACAAAAATAGTTTTTATTTGGTCTTGCTGTTTAAAACGGCAGAAAATACATTTCAAAGAATATATATCTAAGGGAGCATTTTTTATCATTTAAGCCAGGAAACCCAATATTTGGATCGAAGGAAAATAAAATCATGTTGCAAGGACTAACAGTTGCATCGTCAGATTCTTGCTCATCATCGCTTTATTCATATGCGTCGATAAAACCGCAAGTGAGCTGGATAAACACTGTCATTTTGGGTATTTATCACGATTCAATACTCCTGTTTTTATATGCCCGAAAGAATTTCGGGCATATTATGTTATACCCCATGGCGTCCGTCCGTCTGTCCGGGCGAAGATCCATTGGTCTATGAGCTTCATTCCGTCCATAATTTTAGTTAAAAAAAAAGAAGGAAATCCCATAAACCGGCTGGTTTATGTGGTAAAATTACTGGTTTATGGGGGGGAATGCCACCTAAAGATCAAAGAAAAAGCACATAAACCCCAAATGTTGACACGTCCGTCCGTCCGTTAGCAATTTGGTTTCCGGAGCATAACTTAAGTTCCATTTGGCCCACAATACTCAAACTTCGTAGGATGATTGTCCATATTGGGTTAAAGACCCTATTGATTTTGGGGTCACAAGGTCAAAGGTCAAGGTCACTATTACCTCAAAACTGAAAACAGTTTCCGGAGCATAACTTAAGTTCCATTTGGCCCACAGTGTTCAAAATTTCTTAGGAGGATTGTTATTTGAAGGAGGTAATACTTTATTTAATTTCCATGAATGCTTCATCTTTACTAAAAAAACACTTTCGGGCATATAATGCTCCGCCTAGCGGTGCTCTTGTTTGTTATTGTGATTATGTACATAATGGTGATGGAAATAGGATTTTCTTCCTTGTATTAAATAATAGAAAGTAATTACAAAAATTATTTATGCACATTCTTTATACGTTCGAGCAATTTCGGCGACAATTGTTATGCACCTGTGCGTCTGTCTGTCAGTCCGTCTGTTCGTGTCCAGTCAGCTTTTTTGAACCAATGGAAGGGTGTCACAAAGTGAATATAGACTTATTTAAGTTTTATTGTGTCTAACTAGAATGTCCAGATGTTTTGCATGTAGCATTACTTTGCTGACCTCTACAAAAGTGAAATAAATCATGACCCTTATAAGTAATCAGTATGCAGCAAACTCCTAGAACACATCCTACATAGCCAAATTATGAAACACCTTGACCTCCACAACATCCCTTCAGATCAACAACATGGATTTAGAAAACAACGCTAAACTGAAAGTCAGCTTCTTCTCACTCTTCAAGACCTGCCATAAGCCTTTGACCAAGGGGAACAAGTGGACGCCATACTACTAGACTTCAGTATAGCGTTCGACGTTGTGCCTCATCAACGACTCCTTTCCAAGGTGGATCACTACGGCATCAGAGGGACAGTCAGAAGCTGGATCGAGAGCTTCCTGTCTGACCGCAGCCAACAGGTTGTCGTTGAAGGCCACTCATCTGCATCCTCCCCAGTCACATCCAGGGTACCCCAGGGGACAGTACTAGGTCCTTTACTGTTCCTCCTTTACATCAACGACCTACCAAGGTGCGTGACTTCCATCAGCCGCCTATTTGCTGACGACAGCCTGATCTACAGGAAAATCAAATCAGAAGCTGACGCATTAGCCCTTCAAGAAGACCTTGATAGACTCCAGGAATGGGAACGCAAGTGGATGATGTCTTTCTATCCTAGCAAATGCGAAGTAATACACATCACAAAGAAAAGAAGCCCTATCATTTATGCCTACAAGGTCCACCAATCAACTCTTCAATCTGTCAAAAGTGGAAAGTACCTTGGTGTCAACATCGCAAATAATCTCTCTTGGAATATACACACAGAATCTACCATCAAGAAGGCCAAGAACTCTCTATCATTCCTTAGAAGAACATCACAAGCTGCCCACAAGACATCAAGGCCCAGGCCTACAAGACCCTTATTAGACCAATCCTGGAGTACGCAGGCACAGTCTGGGACCCACACACAGCCACCAACATCAACCAGCTGGAAGCTGTCCAAATGCGAGCTGCCCGATTTGTAAAAGGCAATTACAAAACAACCAGCAGCACCACTGCAATGATGGCAGACCTAGGCTGGCCAACTCTACAGCATCGCCGCTCCAATGCCAAACTTGTGATGGTCTACAGGATCACGCACAGCCTCATAGCCATCCCAGCTGCACAGTCTTCCACCCCCTGACACTTGGTGGCCATGGCTACGGATACAGATTTCATATCCCATTCTGCAGAACAGAAACCATGAAGTTTTCCTTTGTACCTTCGGCCAACCGCCTGTGGAACCATCTTCCAGAGCACCTAGCTACAGCAGTCAACCATGAGGCTTTCAAGGGAGGACTAGTCTTGGGGCCCAAAATATGCCGGAGTTGATTTTATTTTTAACATGTCCTTCTTTTGAATATGCACTTATTTGCCGCAAAACACTTTGTACATACACCCTGTACGTCAATGCCCCAGAGTGGGTTATGTACAGTATTGGAAGAAGAAGAAGAATGCCCTTACACTTCTATATATGTTGAATTTTAAAAATATCTTGAAATGTAATGTTCCTTTACTATAAAGGCCAAAGCTTTGATATAGTGGCATATACCATTAATTTTTAGTCTTCCAGTACAGCACCAATTGACCCGGATCTTAACAACTTGACCGCAAAATCACAAGTGCTCATCTACTGACTAAGGCCGATGCACTTTTAAGTAAATAAGAGGATCGAGGGACAATGGTTTGTCGAGTTGTTGGTTTAAAATCTTATTAAAATACAAAATCAATGTGATCTTATGCCCTTTAAAAATCAAATTTGAAAAGTGACGTTTGAAAAAATTCAACCGTTAACAGGAGCGTCCGCGACTGTTACATGTGATCCTGTTTTTAAACCAGACCAAAACAAAATAAGTTACCTTACCACTAGACGTTGGGATAAATCCAGATACGTTTCATGTTTAATTTCTTTCTAGATAAAATATAACAGCGTGAAAGGTTTTTTTATCAGAGGAACAATATTTAAATTGTTTTCGGAACATACATTTAACTGAACTGAAGATGTAAAAGGTGCATGATGTTATTTACTCCATTTGTTTTCATACTGTCTTTGAAGGTGTGATGTTGTTGTCTTTGATGAGGTATATCGCAGTTGAGGTGAAAAAGACCTAGATTGAAGCAAAAAATATTAAAACAATAAGATATTAAAAAAAATACATACATTCAAAAGGTGATTTTTTTCCAAACCAAAATTATATATTCCAATCATGTCTGTTCAATAGAAATTAACTTGGGTAAATTGCATTTTGGTCATCAGTTTTCCTACATTGTGCTATTGTAATGTATTATAATTGTAATATTTGTAACCTGTGTATCGTTTCCTGTTTATCACTGGGATTTTGTATCCTCCGTGTTATGTTGTAGTTTGTTGTTATTTGCCTATCTGCGTACGTGCTATTGTATAGTCTGTTTCGTAAGAAGAGAGGTGACTAGAAGTTGAAAGGTTGTATGAATGTGTTCAATAATATTTCATGTGCATGACACTAAAATGCCCGCGAAACATCTTCTTGCTTAAGTAAAATATTTCCCTTCGCCAGTTCCACATAGTACGAGTAACTGATAACTTACTTTACAGTATAGTCGTTGATATTAGTTGTTACCTAATAGTAAACTTGAACTTTGTATTTTGTTTGTAGGCTCGTTATTGTATGTCCAATGATAAAAGAATGAACTAGAAGAAAGTCTTCGATCATTTATCCCCGGTAACATTATATTGATACGAAAACTTTGAGATTTTAAATCAATTTTACAGATTGTGGCTCAGTCGAAAACATTCAAAATGGAAAGATTTCTCTTGACAAAAAATCCAAAACGTCCGTTGGAGCCACGGCGACAATAAAATGCGATGATGGTTATCTGGCAAGTCAGCAGAAAATTACCTGCCTGAATACCGGTAAATGGCAAAAATCCATTTGCACAATAAAAGGTAAAATTAAGTTAATATTTTTATATAAGAAAATAATGATAATGTCTTTATATATATATAATTTCTTTGTGTGAAAATTTTAGTTCTTGTTTTAATGATATACAATCAATTTGTATTTAAAAGGATAGATAACGTGACTAATTACAAAGAAGATCGATCCTACATTCTTTGATGAGTTGAATAAAAAGTAATACAGCACTATTTGTTACAAGCGTTACTCAAATGTAAAAATGTGCAACAGAGAACTTATTATTCTGTAATGAGTTATAATAATAAGCATAATTGCAAATGTTAAGTGCAATATTCTATTTAAAATAACATTTCGATGGTAACGTGGCGCTATTTAGGCATTTTCATAGTTTTATTCATATCTTAAATTTAAAGGACTCCACTGAGGTTTTTTGACATGATTGGACTGAAAATATTTTTCCAGATAAATGTACCATTTGATGTAGGTTTAGACCACTAATCTTTGTGCAAAATGTCAGATCATTCATTCGCGGACTTCGTTTTTCCAGAATGATTATTGCATATATTTCTGATTTAAGTGCCCCAACTCATTTGTGTAAGAAATTCAAATGCTATGTTTTAGGCTTTTAATTATATAAGCCTCAGTGGAGTCCCTTTAAGGTAAATAGTAACATTTATTGACATAATCTGAGAACAATAATTGAGCCGTGTCATGACAAAACCAACATAGTGGGTTTGCGACCAGCATGGATCCAGACCAGCCTGCGCATCCGCGCAGTCTGATCAGGATCCATGCTGTTCGCTTATCAACTCTATTACAAGTGGAGAAACTGATAGCGAACAGCATGGATCAGGCTGGTCTGGATCCATGCTGGTCGCAAACCCACTATGTTGGTTTTGTCATGACACGGCTCATATAGTGCATGATATTTGTTTTCATAGAAGTAAGGAATAACAGGGATATTATTTAACTGTGATTAACTATATTTTTTTAAATGCTTTGAATGCTTTATTTACGTTTTCTTGTAAAATAGTTGACAGTTTATATGTTGATATCATCGTTTTAAAGTAAAATAAACATCTTTTTGGTGGATGATAAGTGGTCTCAATGTGAAACGACTTATAAAAATAGATCACCACACTTTTGTTAATGAGACCAATATCTATTGACTAATATTTATACTACTTTTAAGTAAAAACTTTCAATAAAAAAATAATCAAAATAAATTTAATTGTTGATGAATATAATATTACTAACTTCTATTTGAATATTTTGATGAATTGTATAGAGTGCAAACAATGCCAATTAGATCACAATCGTACGACAATCAAATCTGGTGTGTAATAATCTATTCAACAATATTCTAGATAACAAGATCTGAAAGCTATTCATCCTTGTCAGCTAAACAAGTACTTCAGTAACAATAATATTCGGGCTAGTAGTCACAAAGAATGTATCAGTGTCTGGTTGTTTATAAAACAGAATAATTTTTCTCAAAATTTCCTTGAAATTCCTAGTATTTCGCACTTTCTGGGAAAACAATTGTTTCCCATTTTCTTTTGAAATGTACATATTTTCTTATTATAATTATGCCAACTTGGTTGTCATGAATTAATTGACGTTCGATCATTGTTCATAAAATAAGACTCTAATTTCGAATGTATACATTATATGAGCTCTTTGGTTTTGTTACATTACTCATGGCAATGTAATGGCATCTACCGGTCATTTCCTGACTTAAAAGAATTATATAAACGTTTTAAACGTTTCTCCTTTTGATTGAAGTTTGTTAAAAGGATACCCTTTAATAACCGTACATAAGTACAATCATGAATTTTCGTGTTATCATACTTTATGGAATTTCAACGGGTAAATGTGATCTACTTTGAATGTCTTCATTTTCTATATATTTCTATATATTGTCAGACTGTGGGCCTGTTAAAAAATTGTCAAATGGAAGAGTCGTTCTCGACAAAGCAAAAACGTCGACATATGGAGCAACAGCGACTATAAAATGTAGCCCTGGTTATAGAGCAAATCAAGAAAAAATAGTTTGTTCAGATACCGGGAAATGGGAACCAGCAAGATGCAAACTCAAAAGTAATGTTCAGTATTTATTAGATACAAATTAATTACCGACGTTAATAGCTTTTCTATATATGGTATTAAAACATAATTAAACTGTTTGATAGTACCAATACTTCTGTGAACATTCACTTCGAACCGCTTATTATACTGGAATTATTGTCTGTAAACTTTGTCCCTGTCTCATTGATATTTTGTCTTTGTTATTTTCTAAGTACTTAATGTAAGGCTATATTAGGCATGTACCAATCAAACAACTTTTAAGACTAAAAATCTTGAACATGTAAATACTTATGCGGGTTATTACAACAAAATAATTGATTGCAAAATGTGAAAAATGTTTTATTGTTATAAATAGCTTTTGAAGAAGAGGAACATAGTGTTAAGTAATGCACACTTGATCCTTTTTTTCCAACTTAGGTCTCACGTTTTATGACAGCATCATTATAGCTAAATGGTTCTCTCAAATTCTTATCTTTTACGATTTCGTCACGTCATAACGTACTTTCTTGTTGATGAACATGCGTTACGTTTCATCAAAGATATAAATCAAGAGGTATATGATAAACATATAAATTACCATTATGTAGAAATACAGGGAAATATGCCTCCTGCTTCTTGAAAATACATTTTTAAGAGCAAAATGGAATAAATGCAAAAAAGATATCTTATAAATTGTATAAAATATTCTATAAAATGTGTGAAACACATACATTTAATATTTTGTAGTACATACGTTTAAGGAACAATCAATCAAAATTTATTTAACTGTTAATGAATACTCGTACAATATTGAAGAAAATGTGATAACATTTTTTATGAGTAAAGATTTGGATTAAACTGATTCTGGAATTTAAGCTACATTGAATGTTTTAATTTTGACCATATATCTGTACATTGTCAGACTGTGGTCCTGTTATAAAGATCTTAAATGGAAGAGTCACCCTTGACAAAGTAAAAACGTCGAAGGTTGGAGCAACAGCGACTTTGAAATGTAAACCTGGTTATAGAGCAAATCAAAAGAAAATAGTTTGTTTAGACACCGGAAAATGGGAAGCAGCAAGATGCAAAATCAAAGGTATTGTTTAGTATTTATTAAATATAATTTAAGCACAACCGTAAATAACTTTGCAATACATGATATTAAAAATATTGCTTAACCGGTTGTTAATTCATATATCAAAAATCACGTCTAACTGCTTATAATACTTGTACATATTGTTAATTTACGTTTTTCTCTTACATAGATAGTGTTCTTATTTATTATTTGTCTATGTACTTAATGTAAGCTATACTAAATTTATTGTACCAGTAAAACATCTTTTACGACTAAAAGTCTTGAATATGTAAATACCTTTTAAAGTGGTTTCAACAAAACAAATTATTATTTTCGAAATACAATAATAAACTATATAAGAGATGTTACAGTAAGGTGCATTTTATGACTATAAATCTGGAACACGGAAATGTCACTATATTGTTTGTCATTACTTATAATCACATCTTGAAATGTTTTACAGCGTCAACATTACCTTTTAGATTGATAGAATCATTTTTTTACTAAAAGTTGAATTTCTTGAGATAATTTCGCTGATAAAGTAAAAACATAACTTTTTTTGGTTATTGACGTTCAAATGTCGAGGTCAAAGCAACTTTGAATCTGTCTGTGAAATGACCTTCAAAAATTCAAGAATCTAACGTAATGCAACTTTTAACCCCTTTGCTTTTATTTCTCTCAATGAGAAATGAATTCCTGTCGTGTTGCTTGGGTAACAGCTCATTGTTATAATTTCGTTGAGTAATTATCCCATTTTTCCTGATAACGTCATGATTTTAATTCTTCATGTTTGAAAATGACCTGGTCAAAGAATATATTTAATTTTTTACATATTTCGTTCTTAATAAAACCCTAAGAACTTTAGCGTGATGTATTTTAATGTACAGATTTTTTAATAAAATGTGGAATATGGGGAGATGTCGGTCTTGAGATTATGCACTTTTTTTCTTAGGTTGTAAAATTTGGTTGCTATTCCAACAAATAGACTTAAAGTATGCCAATATATAACAATATTTGTGATTAAAAAGTACTGAAAAATGTATCTATGAAACATTAAATATGGTTATGTTGTATAGCAGTGTTGTGATTCTGCACGTTTCTTAAAGTTTGTCTTTTCTGAGTATTTTAAGAGCTGTCCCTATTGCGTCTTACTTTTTTCATTAAAGTTTTAACACTGTCATTAAGTCTTCAAATATCAGAATTAAACGTATGTCATTAGATTTGTTTCAATTCACATATTCGTGAAATCGTCTTAAAGGTAGAACACGGCATTTTCGAGTAGCGTCTTGAAAATTTGTATGCAAAAAGTTTGCCATATTGTTGCTAACGTGTGTTATTCGTTTTTAATCAAATTATATCTTTATCTTGACCATTTTATGGAAGGACTGTATGCTATTTCAAAATTACTGGATTTTTTTAAGAAAACTTATCTACGTCATTTTATCTCAAGATAAGGCAAAAGCATCTTCCCCAGTTCTTCGCCATAAGATGTTTTTTTAACGTTAATAACATAAAACAAAATTTCATGACGTTTAATGTCAAGATCACAGCTACTTTGAATCAAAAAGAAAGTTCCTCTCAATAATGCACGAATTATTTATTACGAACTTTTCAAACATTTTTATTAATTTCGCGCTTTTGTATAGTTTTCGCATGACATGAGTTCTATTGTCGCTGATACGCATATAACCCCCATGGCTTCTTATGTACGATTAAAATTCAAAATATTTATGAACGAACTTGCACTTTCACTTGCCAGTACCGTCCATGAACAGGCTCAATCAAGCCCAGCCTTCAACATGTACATTAAAAGGTATATAACAATTGGAATCGATTTCTTTATATTTAAAACGTTACGAATCTTTGTCCACATTATTTATTTTTTAGTACATCTCAATTCAATATTAATAATGCACGTCGTTAAAACTCTCAATATAGACTTTACAGCATCTTTAAAATGTTTGATAATTCTGGTGACAAGATTTATGTGGACCAATTCAAAATATTTGTACACATTATATAAATGATGTTAATTTTGCAAAAACTTATTCTCAATTTAAGTATATGACTCTTTAATGTCAGAATCACATTAACCTTGAATATGTCAAGTGATCTCCCTCCAATAATGCAAGAGTCTTACGAACTTTTTTTCCTTAATTGCACGCAGTGAGTAACACATCCCAGTTCTGCTGTTGCAGAGGTCAAATGATCAAATGTCATCGTTACAATTATGTTGAATATTAAACCTATCCCTCAACTTTTTATCGTCATTATTTTAATTCTTAATAATAATTAATGAACGTTATAGAATATTAAATTTTGAATCTTAAATCTTTATAAATACCGAATATATGTTTATGTATCTTTATGTCGTAATGTAAATTTAGCACCGATGTTTATAAACTATTTATATGTTATTAACAATGATAATTAGAGTGTTTGATAATATGTTTGTAAAGATTCACGCATAACTGCTTATAATAATTGTGCACCTCAAGTGTTACTTTGTTCACTATCTTAAATAATATTTTCGAAATAATGTATTAAAGCTACGCACAAAAAGGTAACGGTCAGATTATTTATTTTGAACATGTTAAAACCTTGAAACTGATTTCAGCAAAACGGTTGATTGCAATATGCCAACAATGTGTTATTATTGCTCCGCGCCCACAGATATTCGTTTTTACATTTTTTTGTTCATGGACCCGATTTTGAACAATTTATACCATCAATTTACAGCTAAAAAATAAATTCTGAACCAAAATTCCTTCCGATTTCTATTATGTAAAGTTACATATTGGTTTCCGCTTTTGGTGATTCGCAGCATGTCATATTAATGAATGAGAACAGGAACAATTTTCATGACGCATGCAAAAGACAAAACAAAAATAAACTTAAATTCGGTAACTTATTTCTTACATTTGTATCTTCTATAGAAACTTACTATTTATTTTGTAGTACGCAGTGGGTTTTGATGTATTTTACTGCTGTGCAAGATTAATGAGATGATCTTAACATTGTGAAATCTGAAAATGTATTTATACTAATAGTTTTAGTTTTAAATCTGAAACTGTTTTAGAAAAAATACCTTAAAAATAACTTGTCCGGCAAAACTGACTGCAAAAATTATTTTACTGATCAGAGATCAAATACAGCTAGGTATCAAATACTTAGGGAGGGCAAACAAATGCGTAGTCTGCCT